GAAATAGCATGTCTGGAATTAAAGGTTTATTTAAATATGTAGATGACTTTTCATTCATGGTTACAAGGTCAATATTTGCTTTCCAATGGAAGCACTTTATTTGGTTGAATTCTGTCTCCAGAAATGAATGGGCAACACCAAAACCTTTTACATTGGCAATGAAATCACAACATTGAGATGCCACCAAAATCTAGAATTCAGTGCGCAAACACATACACACACAAATACAAATTAAAAAAGTGCTCAGCATCATGTTAAAATATAATTTGGCTTCTTTTAAGTCTTTTGACACTTCAAGCAGGAAAAAAAAAAAGTCAATACGCATCAAACCAAAAAGAACTTTTGAAAAATACTCAGCATTAAACACAACTTTCAGTATCAGTAAATATGTTTCTTTTCTTCTATATTTACAGATGTTAAGAAAGGGCATTAGAAACACTGTTTTGCTGGGGACAATGGTGAGATTCCATTTCACAGAGTGTACAATCACACTTTTTCAGTGTGAGCTTAGTAAATTCAAGCAAAGTTTTTATAAACCATTCATATGTTTAGAGAGACAAGGTGGGTGAGGGAATAGCTTTTATTGGACAGACAAGCTTTCACGCTTACATGAAGCTTTTGTTCAGGGCTGGCCTCACCCACCTGTGTCTAATATCCTGGGACTGACACAGCTACAACAACACTGTATAAGTCATATGTTTAGTCTGTCTCAGTTGTTTGTTTTTAAAGTTAAACTCTAACACTTACCTACTTCTTATGCTGAATACACACAGCAGAAGACAAATCTAAACTATAGTAATTGTTTCCTTCTCATCAGTTTTAAGGTCCAGGCTTTCTGAAATGGGGCAGCAGGTTTATAAAAACTCCACGGATGGTCTTCGAATACATCCCGTTCAAAGAAAATCTGTTGGCTTGGCCAAAACTAATGCTCCTTCTAAAGCACTATGTAGCAACACTGACATTGGAATAGTTCAAATGTTCCACAGAGGCTGACAATAATATACTGTCCACCTAGATTAAATATATAAAAGAAAACTCTCTCATTTTTACATAGATGGCACAAAAAAGGGTGAAAGTCAGCTGATTCAACAGTGCATCAGACACAAAGGAATAAATACTGCAGCTAAAAATATTTGTAGATATTTGCACGCCTGTTGGCTGCTTAACCATTTAGATCCCGCTGGAGATATGCTGATCTTGAAATGCAACAGAATCCTCGCATACTTGCATCACAGTTCTGCATATGAAGTTATAAGAGCAAACTGTGTACGTGGTGGATTTTATTCTGGTATTGAAGGCTTGCGGATCTAAAGAGCTAAGCGAAGGCAGTAACAGCAGTGGTATGGATGGCAGTTTAGCTGATTTTGACCCTTCGGACTGTGATAACATTGCAGCTGAAGGGCTTCAGAGGTTTCTGAGTTTGTACCATCTGCTTAGACAACGCAGCCTCCTGACCTATGTTAACTTGATTCCAAAAAAAATTGTCTTCTTGCTTGCGGAGTCTTATAGTTATTAAGCATGATGAAGCATTAGCTACAGTATTAACTACTGTAGAAGTGAAGGACTCTCTGCTATTAAAAATATAAGTTTTTTTATTATTATTTTAAGAGGGACAAAATTGTGAACAAAACATTTAACCTACCTTAAAGACAACCACCTCATCCTAAGATGGGAAGAGCTAGGTGATACCCTACATAAGGATGCACGATTCTTGGATACTATATTTTAATCTTGTCCCTGCTTACAAGAACAGGGGACAGCATTGCAACACGCACAGGCCTGCCTGTAAACCAAAGCTGACAGGTCTCTAGCCATGGTGGCATCCATTTTAATTCTCTCTTATTCTGGGCCTTTTACAAAAAATCCAGGATATTTCTTAAGAGCTGGGGATTTCCCCCAGCTACTAAGACAGGCCTTGGAAAGCTGTTCTTATTACCCACTGGCTGCTGTTAGACAAGGTTTGAGGAGGTATAGGATTACTGCAATAGCCTAGAAATGTGAAGATTTGGGGAGAAGGAGAGCGAGAAACTCATAGTTTTAGGAGCTTAGAAAGCAACCTAACCCCTCTCTAGGGAGTTTGGCTCCAGATCACTTGATATTTGGAAGCAGCATAACTTCCTCAGCACTGCCATCAAAATGTTTCTCCTTTAAATAAGATCACATGACAACAGGATGGTTGATACTTGATGCTGGATAAGTCCGGATTCCTGTCTGAAACGCCTGGGCAAAGGTCCAGTCCGTGGCGAGATGGAGGAGGGGAGGGGAATGCCGTTTGTTTTATTTTTTTTAACGTCGTTTCTGCTATTGAAACACACCGATGAGAGTGCACAGGAGCTCATGCAAAAGGAGAAGGCAGGTCTGAAATGCTAAAAAACTGGAAAGAGATTCAGAACAATGAGCCGTTAGGAAGGTATGCGCAGGCAAGGCGGCAGGGCGAGCATGCAGGCTGAAACAAGATTCAAATGGAGGTCTTGGTGAGGGGGGAAATGTGGCTTCAAACCAAAATGTCTTTGTGTGTGTTTGTGTGTGAGTGAGCAGGAAAGCAAGCAGACACTCATGAGTTGCTAGGCTGGCAGGACACAGCAAAAGCCAATGGGGACTGAACGCTTCGAGGGAGCACCAGCCATTTGTAAAAAGGCTGATTGACATTTGGGACCTTTTGGAGAAGGTGTAATTGAATAATGGGTGTGTAAAATTTAACAATCAGATTCAGGGGTCAGTCCAGCTGCTGTCATATTGTTCCTGTAACTGACTTCCCACTTGTATGTACCTCCTTCCCTAGCTGGCTGATGAGCCAACCTCCAGGATTAGCACTAAAGGCACCACGTGAAATGCTGATGGACCAGTGCATACATTCAGATGGACTGAGGGCCACGGGAGGATAGAATCCCAACTAGCACATGCACGGGATTCGCTGGTTACTCTTTGCATCCAAGTGCAGCCAGCCGTTTCTGTCTGGTTGTGGGGAAGGTGGTGAGGGGGTGGGGTTTGTTGGTTATGCTTTACGGAAGGGCAATGCCAGGTTGGCGGAACAATGGGGAACGTCAATAAGTTAGTCTGAGCCACAAGTAACATGCCATAAAAAAGAGCAAGCGGCTGAGTAATGTTGGGATGGAATTTAGATTTAAGTTTTTTCAAGTGCTAACTCCAGACCAGACCAGGAGTCTGTTTGTATGGGCGAATTTTAACTGCCTGCGGGGTAAACAGACCATTTGTTTCTCCTTCTGTGACAAGCTCGCCCCAGGTTCTTGCACCAGCACAAACACCTTTAGGAATCTAAAACATAAGAGACAAAAAGAAAGAGACTTGGGTTAGAAAGAGGCAGGGGGAAGGGCTCGCCTGAGAGTGGCACTGCTTCGGGGAGGTTAAAGGGGAAGGACAGCACCAAGAGCATTTATCAGGCTGCATCATGAAAGGGTTAAGAGCAGCTCCAAGTCAGGGATTCCCTTTGGCCAGAAGCAACCCTCGTTGTTGAGGGTCAGCCACCAGGAAGTGTATTTTCTCCTTGAAAATGAAAGTAACTCTGAGCCCCCGCACCGGTGATCCCCAACCTCAGGCAAGAGCTTTACCTTGAGCACAGCTCTCCTCTGGTGACCATGCAGGATGCAAAATTCAAGACTGGTTCCCCACCAATGGGAATCTGAATTGTTTACACCAGATGAAACAATTAGCTTCTTGTATCTGCAGGGGAGCAGTGGGTGGATTTGGTCAGACTACAGCTCCCAGTGACAATGAACTACTGGGGAAGGCTAGCAGGGTAAATATTTTTATACCCGGGTAAGGCATTTTGCAGTGATTAGAATACATGCATCCAAAGAAAGCTGATTGTTCATCAAGCAATAAACAATGAAGACCCTTCATCTTGATGGGAAGTCAAGAAAGAAACAGGAGGGATGCAAACATTCCTAGTTCATAAACATTCTTGTAAGCACACAGTTCTGGCCCAGATCCAACTTGTCCCCAAAGTTCAAGGGTGCTCTGATCCAGGGTTTGGGTTTGGCCCATTAGGACAAAGGGTGAATTCCCCCATATATGGGAGCACATTTGAATCCAAAATTATGGTTCAGGCCTGTCTCTAATTTTCATAAAGAAAAGAAGAAACAAGAAGAGAAAGGTAACATATTAACAACACTGCAGTGTGAGCTCTTTCTTAAAACATAATCACATCCTTACTGTTAATAAGTCAGTAGCAGACAAAGGGAGGGTTTGGACTATTTGTTTTGCATCGAACAGATAATCCGCTTATGTGAATAATCATCAGAAAACCCCACAAGAATGAGAAAATATGTTTATTAGAGGAAGAGATGATGGTACAGCTAGCTCCGGGGAGAGACCCTCACCCAGTAGATGAGTTTTCTTTAAAGAATAAGAATAGAAAAGGAACAATCACATTGACCAGATGTAACAAACTTTAACACAGAACAGAAGTTTCTATAAAAGTCCAATCAGAGGCAGGCAGCAGGAAACACAAAAAAAAGTTATCGACTTAACAAGATTTTGTCTTACTCAATGGTTATCAAAACAATGATTGGGTTAAGCAATAGAACAGCAAATAAAACCATTTTTAATATATATATGTATATATATAAAAATCAAAATTCAAGTACCTTTAGTTATTAAGTTACATTATATACAAATTATTCTTTTTATGGGGAGCACTATGGACATATATTTAACAAAAGGAATTAAACTAAAAAAAGATGTCATAATCCAGTTCATAATTACTGTCTCCTAAACATTTTGGCAAGCGTAAGTAATCATATTGTATATCCTAGATAAAAAGTGCCTCAGCGTGGTTAAAAAAATAATCATCAAGAACCTGGGTTACAGTTGTGGTGAACAAACAGCAGAGCTGCAACAAAGCCAGAATCCTAGAGCTGTCGATAGATTTATATACACACAGTGGGGAGAATGGAACCAACAGGAGCAAGGCGACTGAAATACTAATCAGACTGTGGGCCCAACATTTGTTTCAAGAAATAAAACCTCTGAAACTGTTCATTGTTTGTCACTCAAACAGGCAATATTTGTAGGGGAAGTGAACTGGGCATGTTTGTTGAGAGCAGCGGGAAGTTACATAAAATTACCCTCTTAATAGTAGAGTAACTTCTTTTGATTATCAATCTTTATGTCACTCAGAGACAGACAGTTTTGCTCCTAAGTGGGCTAGGAGGTACAATTTCTAATAATGCAGGAATTGCCAGACTGGATCAGACCAGAGGTCCTACTAGTCTAGTATCCAACAGCTCTACATACTTCAGAAGAAGGTGCAAGAAACCCTGCAGGAGGCAGTTATAGGATAACCTTCCAAAAGAGGAATTTTATTCCTGACCCCCCAATAAGAATCCCTGAAACATGAGGGTTTATAGCCAATATATTCAGTTCCTAGTTTGCACATGTAAGTATCTAGCATTAATGGAAGCTGCATGTGTGCACCACAAGGAGAATGGATTACAAAGGGATGGGAATATTGTCTACAACTATTCCACAGAACTGGGCCAAAACCCTCATTGGAAACAATGCACCTTTAGTTTCAGGGGCTGAATGAACTGCACCTAACAAATGATCATTCATTGACAGGGCATGTGCATTCATCTCTTCTAAAGAAAACCTTCTGAAATACACCTCTTAAAATAATTGAAGAAGCAAATCAGAACAAAAGGAGAACAGGCCTATGCAAACCTACTCAGGGATTTTCTGAAGTGATGTGTACACATCTGGAAAAAAGCAAACAAGATAAACATTACTGTTCTTTTTGACATAGGGTTTGCTCAACTTTCGTTTGCTGGCTACCATTTTAAACTTAGTAAATAGCCCTTACTCACATGAGAAGTCTCATTGCGTTCAATGGGGCTATTTGTGTAAGGGTCACAGAATCGGGCCTTTTTCAAGTTCCCATTCTGTTAGCTGTAGGTGTAACAAAATTTATTCATTTGGTGTGAAATCAGCCTAATTTCACTTTGTTTAACTAACATTTAGAGGTATTTGCTACCCATTCTCCTTAAGCAAAAGAAGAAAAATGCTGCAAAAACTTGTAAGGACTTTAGTTTACGGGTCAGTTGCATTTTTTATTTTAATTCTTCTTCAATGGACAAATGCAAATGCTTCCACTGACAGTATCAGATCCAAATGAGATATTACCCCAAGTCTAGGCCTGCTTCGTTTTTTAAACCTACTGAAAGTTCCCTGAAACACTTAAGATTGATATCTTAACCATTTTTAAGGGAGGTTCTTTTTATAGATTTTAAATCAAATCAAGGAAATGAATTAGGCCCAGATCCTCAAAGGTGTTTAGGCTCCTGACTTCCACTGAAACCACTGGAAGTTAGGAGCTTAAACGTCTTTGAGGGTATGGGCCTTAAATTGTACTTTTACTGCATATTACAGCTTGTTTATCTGCACATGACTTTGTATGGTTTGCTGTTTATTTACTGAACTGCATGTCTATTTTCTTTACAGACAATTAGAAAAAAAAATCAAGGAAACTTAAACAATGAGAGTGAAACAAATGGCCACGGGCTGGGACAGAAATGCTTTCAAGTCTGTCACTAACTCTTATGTAGCACACTGCACACATGATATGCAAGATGATACAGGGTTATTATTACTATTTGCACAATGCCACCAGTGTACTAGATTCTTTGCTAGGTGCCCCTGTGTCCTAGGACTGGGGGATCCCTTCGATAGCCTCATACATTGGGGTGAGCTAAGGACAAAGTGGCAGCCTTTATTAACGAGGTTCTTGCTTTTGCTGGTTTCAGTCAATATAAGTGTCTCCCCTGCCCTTAGACACATGGGCATGCTCAGAGGCATATTCCACCAAACTTGTTGCTCTGCTCCTGAGCAGCTGACTTCACAAGCTGCTCTGCTGATGTCTACGCATGCCAGTGTATTCAAGGGGAGGGGTGAACAATTGTTATTTTGAGGTGGGTTTTCTGTTGGCCAACAGAGACTTTTGCAGGACAAAAATTAAGCCTGGACTTGCAACTACCACTGTGCATGGAGCAGGCACCGCGTGCAGGCAGTCTCCATACCAAAGAGCACAAGGGTAATGACGGGATATTTGATGCTGAGCTTTCTGCCTTTCCATGTATATGGAGTAGGCAGTACTTGCATTCAACTGTATACCACTTTACAAGGGTAATGAGAAGATCCAGGATGCTGAGTTTTCCGCACAGACTATCTTGGCGAAGGAAGGGATCCAACTGATCCTATCTTTGCCAGTGCAAACAGAAGACCTCTGAATTATGGCAAGATCAAACAATAATCCAAGCTGTCATTTCAAAAGGACATGGTACTGCATTGCTTAATACTGAGCCAAAGAAAAGTGAATGAATGAAGTTGTGTGGTTTTGTACAGGAAGCTCCTCTATTTCGATTGCCTACAGTCCAGCATGAAAGTTACATCTTCCTTTTAAAAGGGACAAAAAGACTTCGTGCACAGAGAATACTTAGACTCAATGAAAGAAGATGACAACTTGCAGGATTAAATGATTGAAAAATCCATGCACTATTTAACATTGAACTTCAAAATCTTCCTGATTTGAAACAGGATGTCAGTCCCTCAGCGCTGGAACCTCTGATTGCTCACTGGACTATCAGCAGGGAGATACTTGCAGGGAGCAGCATGCACATACCCTGATTCCATGCACACGCTTTTCACTTACACAACACAGACTCTCAGTCATGAGGTGTAAATAGCGACAAGGGAAACAAAAGGCATGAATCCAGGCTCTAAAATATTCCACTGATTGTACGTGAGCAGAGAATGAAACAACTAACTGTGCTGTGCATCTGTAGTAACAACATATGCCCCAAAGAGAATTTTCTTAACTGCAACTATGGAGAGGGGAATTCTAGTCGAATACCACCATTCTCTTGATCTACCAAGGATGGAGGAGTATTTTGTGGTTACATTTTCGATAGACCCCCTTCTCCTTCCCATAAATACTAACAAACTGAATGATGACTTTACATGGCCCACAGAGAGTATATTAGGCTCTGAAAAGCTGCCACATTGAAAGACAAACAAGCACCCTAATGATTTCATGTATAACATTTCACGGAGTCAGTTTGCAACAAATAGCATACTTCTGACTGTGGCTGAAATGTCGCTATCGAGTATCATCTAGATAGCTAGAGAAGACACGTAGTTATTAAGAATGGCCTTATATTCCCCACCTTGAACTGGGTGGTATATTGGCAGTAACTGAGCTCTATCCATGGGAGGCTGTCTCAGCCAGAGAAGGCTGGGTAGCCCCCTATTGTAACAGTTTTATTCCACTCAGTATCTTATCGGACCAATCTAAATCACAGTGCATAAAGTCATATGAGTCCGTTATTTAAGAGTATGAAATAATGCACTTTGTGGCATTATGTAGTCCTTAAAAAGGCTCATCATAGAGCAGTTTCAGGGTGGGATGTCCCTGTGAAAGCAAGCAAAGTCATAAAAAGGATATTAAATGTAAGTCATAGCACCTTTGGCATTTTTGTCCAAATAGACTTCGACATAGGACGTTGGGACATAACCCTCCTCCTCTTCATTCCTCCGGATTCGCGTCCACCCATCACCTTTGTCTTCCTCTATTACATAGAGCATTTCGCCTTCCGTTACTGAAATTGTGCCTTCATTCTGACCTGAGACACAGAGTATACAGTAGTTTAGGATTTCCTGTCCATGGGAGAACATACAGACCAGATTGTGGCAAACTCAGCAATGGTACTGAAATATACCCTCCTTTAAGCATGAGCAGCATGAATAAGACAGCAATAATTGGGAGAAAACAGCATGTATTCAAAGAACCAGAAGAATGCAACCCTGACATCAGACCTGTAATAGAAAATTTCTGTACAATCAACAAGTAGCCACAAGTGCGTCATGAAATTGGGCCTCCACTGAACATCTTTTAACTAGTATTGAATATTTAGCCTTTACTGTTTCTGTGCTGAGATGCAGCTACCAAAGGCAAGTGTGTTTATTTACCATACACAGGGTAAATTTACTAGCCCTTGTGTCTGGCAGTGATAGGAGGGTCTGTTCATCTTGTCTACAGCTGAATACGGTACTTGTACATTAAATAATCCTTGCATAAAATCTATTCCTTATACTCTGAACAGCTCATTTAATATCACTCTCCCCAACAAACTATCCAGGAGTCTGCGAAGAGCTTGGGAAATATTTTGGATCAACTTTTGCAACCATCAAAATTGCTCGAGTCTTAGCTCCAAATCCCAGGACTCTGCTGGAGCCTGCTCCTAGCGTTCTCTGCTCCCCCTGAGTATCCCCCCTTGCTGCAGCTTCCAGAGGCTGTTTATAGGGGAATCACCTGGTCCCTCTCCAGGCCCTTCAGCTCTGGCAGGACAAGCCACCATGTTACATCCATTTCTGCTCTTCACGACAGGAACGGTCTCTTACTCTATATGTGAACAGTGCATAGCACAACGGGGGCCTCTGGAGGCTACTTGTAATATAAATAAGTAATAAATAAGAAGTGAAATGGAGGCTGAGGGTTAGTGGTACCTTCAAACGTATAGAGAGCTTTACAGGTTCCTATGGTAGGGAGTGGTTCTTCGTCATCAAACTCATCATCAAACTCTGTCACTGGCACCTTCATCTCACTCTCCTGACTTGGCTCCTCTGTGTAACTGCCATCTGGGCTGCTCAAGAAAGGAAAATATACGGCAACTATAGCAACCAGCCTCCGGAGCAGTGTGACAAGGAACATGCACCTGCCAGAAACACTCAGCTGCGGAAAGTTGAGGGCCAAGGGAGTGGTTGCAGTTAGGGCCAACTTGATCATTTAGATACACCGTCAGAATGTGCCATTGTCAGTCGCTGCATTTCCAGCACAATGGGGGAAATCAGTTCAGTCAACTCCTCCTGCCACAGCCTCTCAAATGCATCTCCTCTTGCCTACCTTTCACAATGGCCAACGTAGTAGTTCTTTATGCTACTGCAGGGGTAGGCAACCTATGGCAGGCGTGCCAAAGGCGGCACGCGAGCTGATTTTCAGTGGTACTCACACTGCCCGGGTCCTGGCCACCGGTCCGGGGGGCTCTGCATTTTAATTTAATTTTAAATGAAGCTTCTTTTAAACATTTTAAAAACCTTATTTACTTTCCATACAACAATAGTTTAGTTATATATTATAGACTTATAGAAAGAGACCTTCTAAAACCGTTAAAATGTATTACTGGCACGCGAAACAAATTAGAGTGAATAAATGAAGACTTGGCACACCACTTCTGAAAGGTTGCCGACTCCTGTGCTACTGCATAAGGGCTTGCTGCATGTTCAGAAGGGCTCAGTGTCCTCTGCACATTGGAAGATGGGCCTAGGATTTGGGGCACTCCCAGAGTTTTTGTGCACCTGGATATTTCCCTTTCTAGTTTTCAGGTTATTTCCATTAGGAGATACCTCTATAGTGGTGTGTAACGTCTGAGAACATTATATGCACTGAACAAATGACATGCAATAGTTCTAGCGCAGGCAGGATTAGAAGTTTCCTGAGACAGCCAGCTCACGTGAAATTTCCTGTCCAATTTTCCATTCCCAAGAGGTTTGGAGGGGTCTTTACTGGGAAAAGATGGGATTCCAGCCAGAGTGCTGCAGCTGGTAAGCATCCCACACAACTTCTTTATCTTCCTGCATATAAATCCAGAGGAACCCCACAGAAGTCAGTGGAGTTGCTCTGGCTTTGCACTGGCATAACGGTACAGAAAGTGGCCCCAGTCTTCAATCTGCTCTGCAGAGGTGAAATTCACATCTATTCAGCGGGCCAGCATGACACCTATGCAACACTTACATCCCACTTTATGTCCTAACTGAGACATGACTGGTCAACAGGCCTTGTGCTAACTCTCTGCACAGGAATGAATTTTACCCTGTGTGCATGTTTGGAAGTGACAGAACCAGACCGGGCTTTAGACCTGTTAATGTTGTTCCTGGAAAACATTCACTCTCTTTGCATTTCCCCAATTTTTGCTGTGGCAAATTAGAATTTTCTGCATCAAAGTAAGGAATTATTTTCTCAGAGTGGCAGCTTGCAGTCTCATCATGGATTAGGCTTGTTGCATGCTAGATTTACACATCTATTGTTGAAGCACAGCAGTATCTTGTACAGAAAAATTTGCCTCTAACGAAACGAAGGGAGGTGCAACAGTAACTAGCATGCTAGTCTGGACAGCTCTGTACAGATACTGTACCTCTCCCGGTCCTGTGCACAGTTATTGACGGCTGACGTGTTCTGGGTGTCATACATTCCACTCTGTCGTCTGGTCTGTTCAGTCCGCACAGGTAGTCTGCCTTCAACCTCGGCCAGCCAACCCTGCAAACAGAAAGCAACGGGTTTCGTATGCACCAGATAGCCAAGGGACAGAGTTTGCTCTTCCTTTGCCCATTTGGAGATATACCTAACACTTGAACCACCAAACTACAGGCAAACAGTCCACTAGTATAAACACACTTAAATGTAGCTTCAAACTGCTGTCATCTGAGGTGAAGGGGAGTAGATTCTGCATTCTAAATCTATATTTAAAAATAATAATGTTGCCAAAAATGTACAGGCTGATACGAAACACTGCGTGAGTCACACCCCTGCTGGCTTAGCAGCGGGAGTTTACTGGAGCTGGGCTGAAGTGCTGTTGGTCTAGGAACAAAGAGGTAAACAGAAGGAGGCTGTGATAATTTCAGAAACATAGAAGCACCAAAAAAAAAAAAAAAAAAAACAAACCCTTATTGGCCAAACGGAAAAGGACAATAGTTGGGAGGAAAGGAAAAGCTGTTGGCTTTCAAAGGGGCCTCACAAGCAATGGAGAGTAAGGCAAACAAATGTGACAAGCATCCAGAATTAATTGGCTGTGTGCGTTTTAGTCCACAACATAATCTATAGCGCATGGAATGTAATCCTTCCCTGTCCTTACTTCTTCTTATGTAATTACAATAGTTTCTGTTTATAATGGGTTCAGTTATTCCAACTATTAGTCATACTCCAGAGTCTGTGTATCTTTAAAATGCTTTCTGTTGACAGCAGAGATTGGTCCTTAAAATGTGCTTCGTCTCATGGCTTCTGTCCAGCTCTGTCCATGGATCCTCATCACATTTACCATAGCAGCTTCTTTAGACAATAATGTGTTTCACAATTGATTTTTTTAATCCTGTTTTGGATTCCCACGAGATCTGGGTGGGGGTTGGGTGGAGATGAAGCTTTTGATGCCCATCAGTTTTTTACCATCAGCAGATATCAGATTGGCAAAACGCACCTTCAGGTGTGAAAAGATTAAAGTGGAGTTTTTCCGAGTTCTCACCTGGTATCTATGTCTTCGAAGAGGCATTTAAAACCTGATATTGTTGCAAATGCAAGAGTACCAGAGCATTTCAGGGCATTCTCCTGCATTCCCCTGCTCTACATAAGGCATTTTCTGTGACAAATTACAGAAAAATCAAGTTGCTGACAAATGCAAATGAAGGATCCAGGACATATTTATGCTAAAAGGTGTCTGTAAGGCTCCACTTGAGCAACATATTTAAATACTGCCTGACTCTAAGCACTTACTTAAATCCATCCCTGTTAAGCATGCACTTAAATGTTTCCTGAATCAGGGCCTATTTGTTTAAAGCTACCATCATGAAAGTGCATTAGTACTTAAACCCCTTCCAGACCTCAAATTTCTGGGCCTCTAGTCGCAACTTTTCCATATTTTGTCCCAGTTCAGCTAATTTGTGATCCACGCTGGCTGCATCTCCCATCTGCGGGTTCTTGATGTAGACATCTTTCATTTTTGTTAAGGCATCTCTGTGAGAAAGAAGGAAAATGCAACACCAGTAAGTCAGGCAGCAGCTGGGTGTGTAAATCCTTCTGGAGAAACCAAAAAGTTCCAAACCAATCATTCTGTGTCTATGGTTCAAGCACAACAGGTTACAGGTGTAACAAAGTGTAGAGAGAAACCATGCCAGGGCTTTTGTTTTGTTTAGTGCCACCCATTTACTAATTAAAGATCTCTCCTTAATGTATCGAAGTTGTCTGCATGGAAGAGAGTTTATAAACTATCAGGCATTGCAAGAACTGGGGATAGCCTTTAGCAACAATTTGTAAGACTTGAGACAGTGCACCCTTAGTCATGTTGAGCCTTACTCCACAAACAGCCCATGGGGTTTTTTCAGTGTAACTAAAGATGGTAGAATTAGCTCTACAAGCAAATCATTTCCAAGAGTGGCATAAGAAAGGAACTGAGCCAGTGTAAACATGCAGGATTAGATTTAGATTACAATGAATGGGAATTGGACATCCAACTAATCCGAGGAAAAAAGTGACTCTATTCTGGGATTAGGATATTTTTGGGGGAGGAGATGGGGAGAGTCAAGGTGTGGAATTATCTTTCATTCACACCCACAGCTCTCCCCCCCTCCCCATTTCCCCCCCGCAAAGAATGGCCTTTGAACTCGCTAGAACAGGGGTGGGCAAACTTTTTGGTCTGAGGGCCACATCTGGGTACGGAAATTGTATGGCAGGCCATGAATGCTCACAAAATTGGGGGTTGCGGTGCGGGAGGGAGTGAGGTGTGCAGGCTCCGGGCAGCACTTACCTCAAGCAGCTCCCGGAAGCAGCAGCATGTCCCCCCTCTGGCTCCTACGCGGAGGGGCAGCCAGGGGGCTCCGCACAGTGCCCCTGCCCCAAGCGCTGCCCCCGCAGCTCCCATTGGCCGCAGAGGGGGGACATGCCGCTGCTTCCAGGAGCCATGCGGAGCGGGGCAAGCCCCTGACCCTGCTCCTCGGCTGGAGCAGGGAAAGCCCCGGACCCCACTCCACAGCAGGAGCTCGAGGGCCGGATTAGTTTGCCCACCCCGCGCTAGATAAGTATCTTCCCAGCCTTATGGACACATTGAAGTGCTTATATCATCTCTCCACATCCTGGGCTGAATGCTATCCTAGAGAATAGGCTAAAGGCTGGGATGTGGGCATTCCAGTAACAGAATGGAGTGCTAACCAGAAATTCTCACTCTGCCTATTGCATTGTGTTCACCTTAAGAATATGCAACATAATTTGCTCCTGATAGCAGGAATCCTTGTTTTCCATGATTAAAAACCCCCAAATTCTCTGATTAAAAAAAAACCACCATAAAAATCTGCATTTTTCCACGATTAAAATAAAATCTGTAGCCCGCATCCTGCCGCCCGGGGCTGGCAGCCCGAGTCCCACTGCCCGGAGCTAAAGCGTCAATTTCCCATATTCCTGTGTGCGTGCTGGTGGCAGGGGGTTCTACTGTATATGTTTTTATTTTTTCCCCAAAATGTAAAAACTAAAGATGCTTTGTAAAAAGGCAACTTCTGCGCTTTTTCGCGTTTTTCAGTGGCAAACATTTCTAGGATCCCTTCTGGATCAGTTTATTTCACATTGCTCCACTGTTCAGACTAAAACTAAATCCAGATGATTTGGCTTGGTAACAGTGTGCAACAGATGGACCTTGGGTCATGATGTGACACTAAGTCTAGTTAAGTTATGCAGCATTTTGAGACTGTGTTAAAGGCTACACATTTCATATCAACTCAGGTGCCAAATGCCTAGGATCTCAGTGACGGTGCTTTTGAAGCACAATATCAGGAATCTGATATCACAAAGCCAACGTTAACATGCTACACGCTGTCCTGTGCTCAACTAGAAGGTATGTCCTGTGGAGTCATCTTTCATGGCAACGTGTTGCACCTGACTTGAGGCAGGTTGAGGATGAATTTTAAGAGATTTTCTCTGCAGAACAAGAAACATTTTAGGATTCAAAAATGAGTTGATTTATGAGCTGAGTTCTCATTACTGGTGTGCCTCTTCAGCATTGCTTCAGGCATCACTTGAATCAAAGTCCCACAATCCAAGTTACAACTCTTTATTTGCGAGGTTCCCACAAAATCTTTGACAATGGCAGCCCTGTGTCTGCTTTTGCTTTGGGCCTGGAGAAACTGGGAAAAGGAGTGGATGGCAAGGAAGTGGGATTGTTCTGTGGTTGGAGCCTTAGGGGGCATTATTTCAAATTTTAACTCATTTTTTGTATTCATTTTGTGTGTCTCTGACTGTTGCTGTTAGTACCTTGCTCACCAATCTTATCTCTCTATCTATTGTAGTCCTCACTCTGCACTGATTTCATGTATGATTTTAATATTAGGTTACACTGAAATCAATTAAAGAAAATTAAGGGGAAAGAGAAATCTATTCAAGGAGAAAAACTATAGCTACTGTATTATATAAAGGGAACATGTGAAACAAAAGTAAACAGCTTACCTATAGGCCTCCTTTCTTATTTCTGATATGAAATAGGGATTAACATCCCCACATCACTTATACAAATAAGCTGTGAACTGACTTTTAACAGGGTTATCAGATCAAAGTTAAACACTTTTCTTTGTGAAAACAAAAAAGACACTGGTTAAAATGCACAATTCAAGGGCCAATCGTAGCCCAAGATGTGAATGAACATAGGAAGCTGCAAATACAAGCGGCCAGAACCGATCGATATAAATGGAGTCACTTGATGTGCTTGCTTCTCAAGTAGGATGACAAATGAAGTCTCCTAATAACAAATCTGCAAAAGCGCAAGAATCATTAGCTCTTCTGCTTCCAGGAAATGGGCACTGGAGAGCACAGAGACTTTTAAAATGGGCACTGATGAACAATCTCACACTTTTGTCAACACAGCCCTGCAGATAACAGGTTCTGTTATTAGGAATCTCCCTAGTGCATGTGATTCCTAAGCCTAAAAAGTACAAAAGCTTTTGGCTAAGTCCCAAGTGCACTATACAGTACTAGGTTAATATTGGATTTGCCCTCTATTAGAGGACTGTATCTTGCATTACAGGGGAATGGGTTTGATAATCTAGGAAGTGTTTTCCATCTTTGTTAAAATCCTAAACTCATGAGCAATAACAAGACGCCAGAAATGGAAAGCTTCCAAGGTTGCCGTACACAGGCTTGATATATTTACAATAAGCCACCTGCTCAGTGCTGTGGGGTCTGTGATTTCAGTAGCCCTGAAAGACATGGTGGTTTGGCTAACTGAATAGAGATGGATCTTGTATTAAAATACTGTAAATATTGGGGCTGATTCATATTCAGAGGCAAATACAAAGTATCTGCGACTCCTGCCTGGCTCAGAAGTACACAATTGCTCATCTTAAAAAGGCTGTGCCAGAAAGAAGGAAAAACTGTCCGTGGTGGCACCACCTACACAAGTCACTGAAATTCTTGTGCTATTGCCTTAGTATCCTGACTCAGCAGTGGCGGAATGCACTGCAAAAGCGGGTGGGTGGAATAGATAGACAACTAGCAACCCTTCCCTCCACTCCTTTTGACCTTCCCTGTAGGTCAAAATTAAACAATTAACTTCAGAACTTAGACCGTGGGGGAATTTTAGCTCATCTCGTTGGCTGTTTTTAGTCATCTAGTGCCCTTTGCATCTTCTATTCCAAGAGCACCATATCAAATAGTGATTCACAGGGCATGAGCTACTATCTTGTTCTTATTTGTTGCTTGTGAAAGAATCAGCTTGCTAGTGGTGTTTCAGACACTACTGTTCTGCTAATGAAAACCTCTCTCTAATTCTATATAGTATCGCGGTTAGGCCTACCTTTGATCCATCTCCTTCTGAATGTCTTTGTTTAGCTCATCAACCTTTTGCTGGAGTTTCTTTCTTCTTTGCTCAGGTGGGAGATTGCTGAAGTCCTCTGGTCCTCCCCCCTACACACGGAGTGGGAGGAAAGAAAAAGGCAAATGCGAGACTAAAATATTCTGGTCCATCCTTCAAAATTCTACTTTGAAAACACCCCACAGGAAAATCTGTGAAAAATCACCATGGTCTGAAGCATTTGCATGCTTTATCTTTAGATCCCTAAAGCCTTGAATAGGTTGGGACCTGGATACTTGAAAAACATCCCATTACAACAGTTGAAATCAGCTGGGGAACTCTTGTGCCATTGACTAGGGTCAACCTTTCTAGAGCCAGCAGCAGGGCACTAAGCGCAGACGTTTTTCGCTCCCTTCCTCCTGCTGTTTGCCATGGTCAGAGTTTCACACCCTTTAGGACATCACTTATTCAGCCCAGCCCGCTCCTGACTACAGACGGTCACCGTTGAGCTATTTTTAGCCTGGCAGTTGAGTATTGCTATTGATCTTGTGCAGGGTGGTTTATCTGGCTGCCCCAAGAGGGTAGCTTTTACAGACCTGTTTAATTTATAGCTCTCTAGTGCCCAGATGCAGTGGGCATTCAAGACCTTTTTAATTAGACAAATAAAAATGAACCTGGAATTCTCCCTAATTAAGGGGCAACATAAACACATGTAATTTGCATGAACTTTCTCCATTAGTTGTATGTCATTTACATACTAATAGTTCATTGCTTTTATTAAAAAAAAGTTGACTGCACCAATTCTATTAGCTATGTGGAAGTTCACACGGGGCGAAATTCACCCTGCCCAGACCAACAGTACAAAGCCTTGTCATCACTTAGATCCCTCATATGCAGCATGGCCCTACTGCCAGATACTTGCACGGGGGTGAATTTCACCATGAGCAAAAAGTCTTTCTCACCACATGGAATTAGGGGAAATTATTTGAAAAACATCGAATGCGAGTGTCATTCCTGAGCCACAGATGGCACAGCCATAGAAAACAGACAGCAGAAGACTGCCAGCCAAGAAACATGGAAGCCCAATGCTAGAAGTTGTGAATCTGTTTCCATCCTGATTTAACACCACACTGGATTTTATCGGACAGAGGTCCATTCTCTCTGGAGGCCCAATCTTTCCTGCCTTCCCCTGCTGTGCTGCAGATGTCATCCTCACTTGCAAGCTTTTACTCTCATGCTGTGATTCCGTTTCACCTGTGCAACTGTAAACTGCAAACCCACAGCTAGGATATGGCTTCCTCTGGCAACATGGAGATTGTGGGTGCTAGCGCCATAGAAGTAACCTTGATAAAATGGGTAAATCATTTTCCACTCCCTTAGAAGTGCTCTCTGATGTTAAGACTCTCTTGCACTCACTCACTCTATAGAAATTTTACCTTTGGGGCTATGCATGCAATTTATAACCATACTGTATTCTTTCCAGTGAGTCTCGACCGATGCACCATATGTTGAATCCCTGAACCATCCAGCAGGCCTGGTTCTCCTCTCGCTTACACTGATTTAAATTGGGAGTAATTCCATTAGAGTCACAGAGTTATACTATCAAAAAAAACAGAACAAGAGGGGGGAGAATCAGGCCTCCCATCTCTCATCTGTTTCTGATTTTGTTTGAAACAAAATACCCCGTCTGCCTTCAGACTACTGCTCCCCCCCTTCCTGGCAGCACGGGGTTTATAGAGTAGATAGAACATATGCACAGTGAGTTTCCGAGCCTTTATGATTTTTTTTTTTAATGGCAGCCCCTGCTTTCTCTGGCAGGGAGATGAGTGGAAGGTTATTGTGAGTGAGGCTGAAGACATCTCAATATTAATAAACTAGCTTTACCCTAATCTAAATTACTAACCTGAATTTATACAGCGGGTTTTACAAATTTAATGCCAACAATTCCTTCATACAAAGGGATATTGGGGTAGGGGGGGAGGGAGAGCCGACCCTGCAAATGCAAATCCAGACAAAGTTCAGCTGTCCAGGCAGCTTAGTGATGGCTTGTGATCGAAGTTGCTAGGTGGATTGTGTTAAAATGCCAAATGCTTTCCTCAGAAGAGTGTGATTCAGCAAATACTTTGCCTCAAAAGCTGCACACAGACCTTTTCAGCTGCGCACTGGCTGGGTTCTCCAGGACAGCCTACTTTTTCCGAGTTGTAGAGGGTGCTATGTTCTAGACAGCCTGTATCAGAGGGGTAGCCGTGTTAGTCTGAATCTGTAAAAAGCAACAGAGGGTCCTGTGGCACCTTTAAGACTAACAGAAGTATTGGGAGCATAAGCTTTCGTGGGTAAGATGCAAGTCTGAAGAAGTGAGGTTCTTACCCACGAAAGCTTATGCTCCCAATACTTCTGTTAGTCTTAAAGGTGCCACAGGACCCTCTGTTGCTTTAGACAGCCTGTGTGTGTAGGAAGGGAGCGGAGGGCAATTATAATGGGTCACCTTGCGCTCCCCCGGCCCTAGTAGGAGTGGGAGTGTAACATATACTGGACAGGCCATTAAGGGAAAACTGGCACTCTCACTTAAAGGGACAATGATCTCCCATATCCCTGGGCTTGGTCTCTTTAGTGGAATTTAAGTCCACTTCAAAAAAGATTCCCATTTTATGAAAGGATTAGAAGGCAAAATGAATGTGAATGTAGGAAATAACAGAGTCTGGAGTTGTTTGGAGGACGGGAGGGATGTGTAGCTACATGAAAGGCTACAAAAACACACTACTTAGAGGATACGCACATGCAACAGACTCCCCCCAATGATACCTTAACTGGAAGTCACAAAAGCACCTAACTAAAAATGGAAAAGCCCTTTTAACATGGGGATTTAATTCTGAAACTCTCCTCATCCAGAAACTTCGGCCCACACTTGCAGCATCCAAGCACATCAGGATTAGCAATACGGTGGGCGCTAGTAGACAATATTTCAGACCAATGCATTAACGCTGTATAGAATTACATCCCTGACACTCAAAAAGAACCCTCACTGAATTCACTGAGTAACTTCTCATCAAAAAGGAGGCTCCAACTTCTGACCCAAAAGGGTCATGTCAAGAACCTTTTGCACACGTTGGCTATACTTTACACTACACGCTGCTGCACAGAAAGGTCTGGCTTACACACATAATGCATCAGCTGCTTACTAGTAATATGACTAGCAAATAGAATGAGTGGAAGGACTCTGTATAAACATCAATGACTGCTAGCTCTGTGGCTTGGTGGAGAGACAAGGTGGGTGAGGTAATATCTTTTCTTGGACCGACTTCTGTTGGTGAGAGAGACAAGCTTTTGAGCTACACAGAGCTAAGGGCAACTGGGTTTGTAAGTAACCGAGGGATCTCTGCCATTTTTCCTTGGGACTGTCATGGGGCTGAAGTATTTAGGTTTGGTCTGTGTCTGGAAAGGTAATGGCTACATGAGTTGTACTTCTAAGGCTACTTAAGTGATGCTTTGCACTGCATCAGTGGAGCAGAAGGGCTTGAAATGCCCATGAAAATGCATAAACCCTGCTGCAGGCACTGCAGTGGAGGTGAGTAGCCTTAATGGCACAGGGATTCTTAGAGGAAGCCACCAATAAGTCTCTTGCCTTGTGACAGAAGTCACCTGCTTTGGGGAGACTTGGTGCAGAATGGTGACCCCAAGAATAATGGGGTGAAAGAAACTTAAAGACCCTGACTGACCAGAAGAAGGAAACCTCCCAAACTAACATCACTAATGAGCTACTGCAGATCCTTTGAGGCTTCCTAAAACTTACATCAGTCCTTTCTACCCTCCTACATGTTGGCCTGAAATGATTCAGCAAACTATTTAAATTAAATTCTTCTGGCTAGGATCAGGTGTGGCAAGAAAGCCAAGACAAGTTATCCAAAACATACCAAGGTTCGGATAACTCTGCCTTAACAGTATGCTGTCTTGGATGTAAAATACAACATCACGTCATTTCTGTTCACACGGGCTCTTACCCCTTCCCTTTTCAGTTTTGCGATGCATTCTCTTACCGTATTTCAAGATATCATCCTGGTTGTATCCAAGACTAGATTTAGGATTCATATATACACGATCATTTGCAAATTTAAATCAAACTGAGTTAACCTTCTTGGTTAAGGTTTATTTAACTTTAATTAATTTCATTGTTAGTTTTTCTGGAGGACTATATAGGGCTGTAAAATGCAGGTAACAATGATTCAGACTTCCAGTGATTATTAGTACCTGAACATGGAAAACATACAATTTATAACTGTGTTGCAGTCAGATAAAAGGCTTTTACTTTGCTCTGTATAAAAGGGCCACAGCACAGCCACAGCAGAGACACTTACAACATTAATTCTCCCATGTATATTTCAGGTACAGCAATAGAACTGATTGGTGTAATTTTTGCTACATTTTTATAGCCCTAGATCAGCGGTTCTCAAACTGTGGGTCAGGACCCCATTTTAATGGCGTTGCCAGGGCTAGCTTAGACTTGCTGGGGCCTGGGGCTGAACCCCGAGTTCCACCGCCTGGGGCTGAAGCCGATGCCCAAGGGCTTCAGCCGTGGGCATCGGGGCTCAGGTTACAGACCCCTGTCATGGGCTGAAGCCCTGGGATTTGGCTTTGCCCCCCCCTTACCCCTGCCCAGGGTGGTGGGGCTCTAGCTTTGGGCCCCCCCCCCACGCCTGGGGAGGTGGGACTCAGGTGGGCTGAGGCTTTGTTTCCCCCTCCTGATCAGGTCATGTAGTAATTTTTGTTGTCAGAAGGAGGTCACGGTCCAATGAAGTTTGAGAACCCCTGCCCTAGATTACAAAAAATAAAGATAAACTACACTATAAATTAGAGTTAATTTTTTAGCAGCTTATTAGAAAGATTGAATTCTGATCACCTCTATTAGATTCCAGACCTGTGTATTCAAAGTTATCTGATAAATGTCAAACAAAGCAAACACAAAGAAGAAACAAATTTAAAATTAATGTCAGTCATGTTGTAGGTGTCATAGTGCACACAAAGAAAAACACACACAGAAAACTGTGGTTAAAACACAGGACAAACATGCTGTAATTGTGCTTACCAGCTTGAGAGAAAGCTTCATGTAAAAATTGTAGGGGTAGAGGAAAAAAGAGAAAAAACAAGCGCATCAGTAGAAGAGGAACTTCTTCAGTCCTACTGTTATAATAAAATGACACACATATTCTCTTCACTGTTGGTATGTGAAAATGGGTAACACTAGTAATAGATCTGTGCAAAAGTTCACAAGATGGGCCAAACCCTACCATTCGGCTGCCATTTCATCAGTAGACGTGGAAAAGGAAAACATGTTACACCTTTGCATATTTGCTTTGGCAGTGCAGGTGAAAACGTGACCCAGGCTGACTTACTTCAATGGCTAAGATAGCAATAGCGTATCCCCTTTAAGTAGCACCTTCACTCAGAAAAACTGGTGCTTTGCAATACTTACATAATTAGGTGAGTCACCGCACTCAACACTGAGGCGGTGCTGAAATTCAGCCTCTGCTGGGGTGGCGCCCAACACAAGTCACAGGTGCCAGCCAAGCTAGACAACTCATTAGGACAGGAAGTGGGAAATAATGAATTGAAATTCTGCCAGGACATGGGGACTAACCCTTGGGCCCCTCCTGTAAAACATGCCATGGGATCTATAATGATTCCAAGTGGTCGGGGCCTAGTTTGCACATCTCCACCCAAAAGACAGTATTCCCTTACTACCATGCTAGAGGATTAATTAAGAGGGAAGAGTGTCCTCTGTGTAATAACCAACACCACTTCTTGCAGCACCTAGGACATCCTTGTAGGTCTCCCATCCAACTACTAATCAAGCTTGTTTAGATTATAAGGTCTGAGAAGATCACTATCCTTCTTTTTACCCAATTATTTCCATTTAGGATTTTCACTTTTATCTCCATGCCCATGCTATTGACCGATATACAAGTCCCTTATGTGATACATACAATCCCTTTCCTCAAAGGCTACTATATTTCTTTATGTACAGCCAATACCTTATCATTCAATTAGCCTGGATACTAAGAGCCTGAGCGTTGTGCATTAAAGGCCATATGAGTGATTTGTCCCTGTCCTAAAAAACTTACAAATACAGCTATCTTAAATGGTGTTGCAGTACCTCATTACCTAAACTACAGTGTCTTCTTACTAGTGTTGCAAAGCCACTGTCACAGCTGCAACACAGGGTGCTTTCCAGGAGCTGCACAGAATACAAAGAAGTATTTCAGCACCATTCCATACTGGACTTACGGGCATGATTTAACTGCTGTTTAATACAAGAAACTGGGTTTTAAAGGTTATTGCTTGGAAGGGAGGGAAGAATCCAACTTTGTTTCCTAAGAGCTCATCCCACCTCATTCTCCGATAATCTGCATTCTGACTATTGCAAGCCTCTCAGGCGTAATGGCTGAGATGCACAAACTATGTAGCAAACCCCTAGGACATATAAATGTATTTGAATATACTCTGTGCTGAAGCAAAGAAAGCCAGATGGAACATGGAGGGCAGGCACTCCGCTCACACCATGAGCTAAACCATAATTTAAAACTTTGGTGAACTTCTGCATTCAAAAGTTTCATGCAATTAAAAACTGGGAAGTCCACTGTTATTGTGTTCTGATCTTTAATAAGCTAACAGAAGTGCCAGTTTTAGGCAAGCACAGTTCTCTAAGACTGGACCAAAAATAATGGTAGGGCAGTGGAAGCACAAGTTAAGCACATCTTTTTTTTGACATGGCATTTTAATCTTTATGAAGCTTTCAAGGTTATTTACAGTCACTTGGCAGAGTCTAATTTTATATTAAAATAAAAAGCCAAGCATTCAAACAAAAATGTGGTCTTAAAACAAATAATGATAGATTCCCCATGAATTGATCCATCCTGAATTGCATTTTTGTGATAATTAAACTGGTCAACTAGGCTCCCCTGCAGTTAATTCAGCCAGTAAATAAAAAGATGGCCCTAACCCCAAAGCCCAGAGAAGTCTAACTCAAGAAATGAAGAGGCCCTTGAAAGAACCAAACCAAAGTAATCTATTTTTGAAAGACGAGGAATAATTATATAAATGAAAAGAGTAACCTACTAAATATCTTGCTGAAGAAATTCAAATCTAGGCAGCCCTTATTTTCATACTTGCTTTAGCATTCCTGTGAACTTTAGCATAGACATGATCAGCACAAGTTGAGATCCTTGTACATAAATACACACAACAGTTATGGTGCAGAAAAAAATATTTACCTACAAAGCACTCTATAATGCACAAATGTTTGCTACATGCGCTACATTCTAAACACTAATCATTCTAAAGACTAAACTATGGCCAAAGAGTTGTCAGCATTAAAACTATTCTTTTACTGTAAATTCAGCAAATGTTAAGGAATAATAGACATTGCATGTCTAATACGTACGTTGTTGTTTGTTAAGTATTATGAAAATCAGAAATTTGATTAATAGCACCCCCAAAAATGTACAACAGGCATTGTTATACACAGCATGAATAACAAAGCAGTAGAGATTCTAATAGGTTGTAAATCAAATGAAAACAATGAAATGCTGAATTTAAAAGCAGGTTCAAAGTTTTCTGTTTTTGGAAAACGTTGACATTATATGGCAGCAATTCAATTGCTGTACATCTGAGAAGACTGAAAACAAACGTGTATTAAACGTAGCTACTAAATGACTGCCCTTTTCTTTTTTTGGCCAATTCTGTTGGGTTTTCACAGTTAGAGATTTGCTCAGTTCATGGGAGAATGGGGACTTTTCTTCAAATGATTAGAGAGTGACGTTTCTAGAAAACGTAATGAGCAAATCCCACCCAACTGTCCCTTTAAGACAGGTCTAACTTAGCATTGCAGGGAACAATGAAGAGCCTAAGAGCCACAAGCTTCAATAACACATGACAGAGCACGAAAGCCAACGAGTCCATGTGTTATTGGACAATCACGGACACTAACCTCACTTACAAAAGACAGGGGATTGGACGTCGGGTTTATCAAAGGCTAAAATGTTTCATCTTTGATCCTGTAACAATCTCCTCTACAGTCTGGCTTTGTGCATCTTGTTTAGAAGTCACAGCTCTTGATCCCATGAACCACAAATGTTACGTGAAGTTCAGGGAAGCTTTAGTGGTGGTAGCAGTGCAAGTTAAAGCTCTGTTGTAGACAGCACAGTATCACTGCACTGATATGAATGCACGGCCATTCTGCATGGACAGGCTTATATTTACGAAAAGCCACAAAAATATTCTTAACAGAGTGGAACCCTCTTAGAATACCTTTACACAAAAAAACCTCACTGTATAGCAGAGGTCAGCCTACAAGTCTAACCAGTCTTGTAATTAGCACACTGCAGTGGGTTGAAATAGTTTGGGGTTATGCTTTCCTATAGAGGTTTGGAACAGCTAAACTCACTTGAAGCAGGTTCCACTGTGGTCTGAATTTCCCATGTTTAACCATTTTAGTGGTGCCAACTCCAGCTTTTCCAGTACTGACAGCTGCCCCTCTTTCACAGGATCAGTTGTTCCTATCAGTAAATCATGGCTCGCCTCACAATGAATTTGCAGTTTCCTTATGCCTTCTGCGAACCTCATTTCCACTGAAGCACCCTTTTGCAGTGTTGTAAGTGGGGTTAGTGACTGTGCAGCAACTGTATGGGTTGATCACACCATACACAAACTTACAACATAGTCCCTAGCCTCAACGGCACACGTGGGTTTCCCTAAAGTCCTCTTCATGAGTTCTTTGTGAAAATACAAAGAGTGAGTCTGCCGGTGAGTCAGCAAGAGAAAACACACACTTGTTAAAGAGGAGACTAACAAGGACACCTCAACATTTACTGTTTCTACAGCAAAAAGACAGCTCTGGGCTTAATTAACCTTTAGGTGTGATGGTGGGAACCTGCAAGATACCAGATAACTTCTGAGGGATGTTTTCTCTTTTGGTAAATTAACTAAGCATCATATTTGTAAACACTAGATTAAACATGTCAAATTAGAAACTATTCTTTGTTCAGGCCAGGATAAATTAAGGCTTTTTAAAAAACTGGTCTTGGCACAGGGTATGTATTAAAATAATGAACATTCCCAAGGGCAAGGGATGCAGTTACTCCGGGGGGAAGGGATAGCTCAGTGGTTTGAGCACTGGCCTGCTAAACCCAGGGTTGTGAGTTCAATCCTTGAGGGGGCCAGTTAAGGATCTGGGGCAAAAGTCTGTCTGGGGATTGGCCCTGCTTTGAGCAGGGGATTGGACTAGATGACCTCCTGAGGTCCCTTCCAACCCTGATATTCTATTATTCTTGTATGCTGACGCTACATATCACCCATAATGAAGAAACACTTCCTACAGGCGGACTGATAGTTAAGGTGGCACATCAATGAACAGGGTGAACAGTATGTCACAGAGGTGAGACAAAAAAATGATCAAGAAAACGTATTGACTGGTGCAATGGAAAGAAAAGTTACATTGTAATAAAGTCAACAACTTCCACTAGAAAAGAAATCACAAAATCCCTCATTTTTACTGGGATGGCCTGGAGAACAGAATCTGGTTGAGCCTAGTAATATGGGTAAAGTCTGGATTTTTCTGTTTGTTTAAAAGAGTTGCTCTTTAAATGAAAAAGCTTGTGTTACTGCCACTCAGCAATTGTAAAATAAAACATAAAATTAATATCAAGTAACAAAGAACTGGATTTTGTATGCCCTTAAAAATGGCATTTGAAAATACAGAGCAAGCATAAATGAAACTAAGAGTTATGTAAGTGGTTCCTTATTTTCTGCATATGCTTTTTTTGCCCCTCTACCTTCCTTGAAGGGACACAGTCAACTTAAAGATTATACTTCTGCCTGATTTAAAAAAAACAACGTTATTTTTACACAACATCTAAAATGACTATAATTAAAAGAAAATAGAGAAATATAATCTTTCTCCATTTCTAGTTGATTACAGCACCTAGTATAGATCAGTTTCACTGTTTCCCCTGTACTGTCTGTCAATTTCTTCTATTTGTGTGCGTCTTTCAGAGCAAAAAGGGAGAGAGAAAAATGTTATGGGAAATATTATTTGAAAACCGC